AATTGTATTTCTATTTTAATTTTTATATATTCCCTTGTTTGTCTATAAGCCGCCCAGAGTCCCTAGGGAGTGGGCGGCATACAAATGCTAATAAACTTCCAAACTTCCAATTTAATTGTATGAATGAATCAATACTGCACTCAAAGGTCAAGTGTGTATATGTGCATACTTTACATTTTTTTATAGTTTACCATTTCCCACTATTCTAAATAAAGGGGAAATCTGTTTTTCCATCTGGGAAGAAGACAAATGTTATGGTGAAGATAAACTGCAAGCAAGTTTAGCCATTTGTAATATCATCTCTTTTCAGGTTCTACCTACAAGCTTGTCTGTTATGTCACCAACTGGGCTCAGTACAGGAAAGAACCAGCCACGTTCACCCCAGATAACATAGATCCATTTCTGTGCACCCACTTAATTTTTGCTTTTGCGGATATGGAGAACAATCAAATTAAAACTAGAGAATGGAATGATGCAATACTTTACAGAAAACTCAATGCCCTAAAGAACAGGCAAGTAATTTTCCGAAAAAATATATTTGTGTAACAATATCAGTGAAGATGATAGCATCAAACCAGATAAAACAGAAAAAAGCACTTAATTCAGACCTTATGGCTCATCACTTAAGTTATATACTGTGGACACTTATTTATTGTTAATATTGTCAAATGGTCATAATTCCAGTGCCTAGGACAGATATAAAGTAGTTAGGGCAGGCTGTGTCATGTATATGAATTAGATCCCTTTCCCCTTTTCAGTTCTGAGAGTATAGGTATTTTTCTTTATTTTTCAAATTATTTTGAGGATATTATAGAGCTTTCTGTACAGTTTTGGGTTCTTCCTAACTTAGCCAGACTCTTTTGATACACTGTTAGGGATCCCTCTTTGGAGCAAGATGATTCACAACCAACTTTACATAGACCGATTGTATGTTTTCTGGATGAAGGAACATTGGATATTGCTTGGAGTGGATATATTTCCTAGGGATCAAACCAATGTACGCAAATAACTCTTTTTTTTTGCAGATATACCCCTAGTATATATCCCATAAAATGGAATGTATTAAGTTAAAAACCAATGGTTCTTTCTCTCTTTTACCATTAGGAAAATGCAAATGTTAGTTATGAGTGTTTATATATATATATCTTTAGCCCAGGGGTGGGTTTCTGCCAGTTCTAACCTCTTCTATAGAAGAGGTTCCACAAATCTACAGTGCTGTTTAGAACCGGTTCCAGCTCCCTCCCCCCGCCCGTCAGCGCATCATCAAGATGAAGAGCGAGAGGAGGAAGTCCACAAGTCTTAAAGCTGTCAAGTTTGAACACCCCTGGAGTATTTTTTCTAAAGGGTTAGGGGTGCCAGGGTCTTGTAACTTCACAGCTTTAAGACTTGTGTGCTTCAAATGCCAGAGTTTCTGAGCCAACATTTTGGTTGCTAAGCAAGAGCGTTGTTAAGTGAGTTTCACCACATTTTACAAGTTGGCCACACCCACCCAGTCATATGGCCAGCAAGCCATTCCCACCCTGTCACATGGCCGGCAAGCCACTCCCACAAAGCAGGCCACACCTACAGAAGAGGTTCTAAAATAATTTGAAACCCACCACTGCTTTAGCCTGTTACAAACATAATTACCAGCTAGCCAGAGGCTTTCACTTGTTCAGTGTGAGATAGATAGACCCAAAGTTCTTTCATCCAGGAGAAAATAATAATTTAAAGAATCAGAGTAAATTATTATCTAATTAAAATAATACTAACATAAGCCTTAAATATTTAGATTCATTATATTGGAAATATCAATGAGAAAGAGAAAGGGGAAATGGTCTTCTATATTGGAAGTGCCAGAGAAGCCAAGAATCTAAAAGCCTTTTATGTTCTGATCTATCATGTATGGTTTCTTTAATCTCTACTGTGTCAATAAAACCTTGGCACAAAATTTTCTTCAAAGCAGTAGCAGTAGCAATAGCAATAGCACAGACTTATATACCGCTTCACAGTGCTTTACAATCCCTCTAAGCAGTTTACAGAGTCAGCATATTATCTCCCACCATCTGGGTCCTGATTTTATCGACTTTGGAAGAATGGAAGGCTGAGTCAACCATGAGCCAGTGAGAATCGAACTGCCAAACTGCAGGCAGATAGAAATTGAAGGTTTGAAGGTTTTATTCGACTTGTATGCCGCCCTATTCCCGAGGGACTCAGGGCGGCTAACAAAACCAAGAAGAGAGAAATCAGCAGAAGTAGCCTGCTACTGCATTCTAGCTACTGATACACATAAAACTACTGGTACACATAAAAAAGAAACAATTGATAGGAATCTCGGGATAATTTTTCAAGACATACTGTACATTATTTTGTTGACTGTCAATATACACAGAATGTTTATATTATTTTTCTTGCTTTCCAGAAATAGCAATTTACGCACATTGCTAGCAGTTGGAGGGGGAACCTTTAATAACCAAAAGTAAGACTTTTCTCCTAATCGTTTCCACTGAAAGAGGCCATATATTTGTAACGATGTGATTTTTAATCTGGTCTAAAAGAGATAGGAAGGGATGGAGATTCCATCTCTGCAGCTGGGAAGGAATTCTGCTGGCAAAAAGATGATGGAAACCACATTTACATACATCGAAAGTTCTGTAGGGAAGTCAAGCAAACAGTGTTACTGCTCAGTCTAAAGTATCTCAATTTCCCCATTTCTCCTATAAAATTTGGATTTTGCTCTTCAGTCTGAAGGCTTTACAGCTAATTTTCTATACCACTGCTTTCACTGGTGAAAACAAACAAAACAAGCTGAAAACTCTGACAGAATGACACTTCTCTTCTTTTGCCTTGGCCAGTTTAAGCTAGTTTGGCTTTGGAAATAGCAGTGACTCTATGTGTTAACTCCTCCTTTTCTGCAACATTACCCCTATCTTCATGTTACATTGCTTTGTTGGTAATTTGTAATGTGACATTTAAGGCACGATAGAGAAACTTGTGTAATAATTTTTCCTTAATTGTTATAATTGCAGTATAAAAATGCTGGGATAACTTTTTTTCCTATGCTGCCTTTGTCTATTTCCCAATCCAGGCATGAATCAGACTTACATGCCTTTATCATACTAGTCTTTATGCTTTTCTCCTACCCCAGCATGGATTTTACAAAGGATATAATCTCATATGCTTCACATTGTACTTTCCAATCTGTCAATGACTCAGTTGGGTGGGATCAGCCGGGCATTCATTGGCCATATTTCCTCCCCTACAGTCCCCAGACATTATTTTCCAATCATCAACTCAGAGATGTGGATCAGCTCATTTGTGTGGCAGCATTGGTGGTACATGGTAAAGAAGGAGAGAATGACCTATTTGTCTCTCTGTTCTTGCTTGGTGTAGTTCTCATTTCTTTGCTGTTATTTACTATGTTTTTGAACACAATGCTGTTCTAAAATAGCACTGATTCTATGTTGCAAAGGAGTCCAAATTATATCAAGTTTTGTTAGGCTGTCTGTGGAAGCATCATCAAAATACTTGCTTGAACTTGGCAATCTAGCCATTTATCAAAACTCACCTTTTTAGCAAGTCTATTCTCATTCCATATTAAGGAGAGTGAATGGTAGATACTTTTCACTAACTGATGGTATTTTGCAGAAGGAGAAGGAAATAAAATTGGGAAATCCACCAATCTCTGTATTTAATGTGCCTGTACACACAGTAAATATGAGCAGCACTGTTTTTAAGCATTTTCCAGGATAGAGACCACCAGTAGGAGCAGAAAACTTTATGCAGGTATAGTCTGCAGTTGACTGAAGGACTGGTGGATAAAACTTTAATGAAGCCACGTGGAAGGACCTTTAGACTTGGAGAATAAGTCCCAGTTCTTCAAATTCATACATATAATACGTGCATACTCATCATTACTTTTAATGAACTACTAAGGAACAAAGATCTGGACCACACAATCCTTATCTAGCAGAAAACTACACTGTTCTTTCCAAATTTTGTTCATTGTAACTCTGCTACTCTTTCTGTCAGAATTCTGTGAAATACCACTCCCATCAAACTTAACAAATAATTCCTCACCCTATATATAATATTTACTATTCTGACATTTGTTTTGTAACAGGGAACAGTATCAGCATTCTCCTTATACATGTAAAACAAACTGCACAAAACCACCTGTATTTTAACATATTCCTAACCTCATCCGTGCATTATCCATGAGATTAGACCATGCATCTTCCTCTTCTCAAAAGGTCCTGCCTTCTCAAATACTCCTATTCCATTCTGAATTACAAAGTGCTATACACCATAGTCATCAATAGGTAGATCTATGAATATTGATCTCCATTGACCATCAAGAGACTGATCAGCTGAGGCTTTCACATAACACTTTTTAATAAAATGGAATAGTTAACTACTTAAAGTATAATTTGGGACATGTAGATTTCCCTGCTAACTATAAAAATATTTGGTTGAACATGGAAGCAAATGGAGCATTTTCTATTATTATTTATAAAGGGGGGGTAGGTGCTGGATCTTGCCAATCTCTAACTATGGTTCATGATGTTCTGTGGAAATAAAAGAGAGGTACATGCCAATGAACATTGAAAAGTATGCTGTCCAAAAATAATGTATGTCTTCTAGATTTACTACAATGGTATCATCTTCAGCAAATCGCCAGACATTCATCTCATCAGTTATATCTTTTCTCCGTGAGTATGGATTTGATGGTCTGGATCTGAACTGGGAATACCCAGGTACCAAAGGTAGCCCTCCAGAGGACAAACACCTCTTTACCATTCTGATTCAGGTGAGAGACCGAAAACATAAACTTTTAATTGAAATTTCCATAAAAGAATCTTGTAGGCCGTTTAAACTGTGTGTTTTGATATTCTGCAATGAATGCCCTTCTGAAATCAACAACAGTGAAACTGCAGTAAAATTTATTTTAAAATTAAAATTGAAAATCAATGTCCAATTAAGATCTGCTGTTCAGAATTTTGCTCTTATCACAATGTTGCTCTAGAACCCAGTCTTAGAATGCATATTTTATTGATAGAGTATACAAATAAAAGGACAGCATATTTTTGAGCCTGTATGAAGTACTTATGTATTTATAGATAACCTTCATTTATTTAGAATGGCAAAATACATAGTACGAGCAAAGGTAGGACTGATGATCCAACTACATTTTTGTATTATTTACAAATATTCCTACACTCTTTCATGATTAACAGTACAATTCTGTGCATGTCTACTTAGAAATAAATTTGACTGAATTCAGGGATGCTTATTTTCCAAGTTAAATGCAATAAGATTGGAGCTTAAAGCTACAATCTGGAATGCACGCCATTGCTCCTCTCCTGGGAAGCTGCCTTAGAACCTTCTCCATCATTCCTCTTATGTTGCAAAAAAGATTTCAGTATGCCCTTATGACTCCACTATACTACCCAAAGATAGTGAGAAAGGAGTACTGTATGTTGGACTTGCAGGCTTATTTAGATCCTCTTCTATTCCTTGTTTAGCGCACCTCTAAAAGGACAAGGAGCTTGATCAGTTAGTTTTCTTATGAAGGAGGGAAAGAAAACAAAATGTGAATGCAGGTGGTTGGAATTGGGAGTTGCTTAAACATTTTGGTCTGCCTACACTGAGAACATGTTAGATTTCTAACATGAAAAAGCTTCCTTTGAAACATTTCCTGGTCTCTTGTAAGTGAGCAATGGTAACTACTGCTGCTTCTGTTTCCCTCTGCAGGAACTATCAGCAGGCTTTAGGAGAGAGAGTGAACAAACTGGAAATCCACAGCTCCTGCTTTCAGCGGCTGTATCTGCAAGCAAAACAACCATAGATGTTGCATATGAAGTGCCTGCATTGGGGAAGTAGGTCATGCAATCTAAGAGAAGAGGTCCAATATGAAGTTACAGAGGTACCTTGGTACTCATCCTTAATTGGTTCTGGGAGACGAGATGAGTATAAAAAATGATGAGTACCAAACAATTTTTTCTCATAAGGAATAATCTAGGGAGGGCAGCTGACACTGATATGTTCTAGCTTGTGCATTGAGTACCAAATGAACATGAATACCAGGACAACATTTTCATATCGAAATGCATTGAGTACCAAATTTGATGAGTTTCAAAGCAGTTGAATACTAAGGTACCACTGTTTGAAATATTACCTCTGCAAGATCAGATAACAAACTGTGGGATGATGAGATGTTCCATCTATCCTATCTCTTAGGGCCAGATTGGAAAAAAAGTGATATATAGGGTATTTCAGTTAAGGATTCTTATAGCTTTCTAAAGATCATTTACTACATCCTGCTATAGCTTACCATTACATATATTTTTATGTTCCCAAATAGCTATTGTTATTTGATGCTTTATACTGGCTGTTTATTGTTCCTTAATTTTGACCTTTATTTTAATTTGCATTCAGGAATCTTGATTTTATCAATGTGATGACTTATGATTTCCATGGAAGTTGGGCTCCAGTGACAGGACACAACAGCCCACTGCATCAAGGTTTAATAGACTATGACCCAGTTCCCTTCTACAATTGTGTAAGAAAAATAGCAACATAAAGATCTGTTATCGCTTTTGTAGTTCTAATAGTGGGAATTTGATTAAGCAATGCAAACATATGTAGAAAACTGATGAAACTCAAGATATCTGATGTAAATGTATGTAAAAATCAAAACAGGTTTGAATTGACTACGTCTCAGCAAAAGCAGAATGCTTTTATCCCGTCATGCTAAAATTGCTATCTTACTGACAAAAGACAAAAGATATGCAGAAGAAGAAATGAAATTGTCTTAGACTTCCTAAATACAAGGCAGCCTGAGTTGGGTACAGTAATTGAGAAAGGATTAAGCAAGCTCTGGCTGTAACATGATTTGCACCATATAAACAACCTAGTACTGTAACTAATGGGTCACTTAAATCTGGGCCACAAGTTAGTTAATTCATCTATTTGAATTCTCATTTTTTTAAACTTAGGAAGCACTGAACATGATATGCAAAGATCACAATGCATTGAGCATGATGTACACTGTAAGCACTTGAAAGCATTTTTAATCATTTAATCATTAAATCTGAAAAAGAAGTGTTAGCTCAAGGAACGATAGAAAGGAGGCTGAAACCAATATTATTATTATATACTTTATTCATTAAACATGAAACTCAGCCAATTGAACATCAAAAAATGCAATACAAATACCAGAGACTTGGTGCTTATGGTTGATACAGTTTGCTGCTAGTATCTTGAGTATCAACCAAGTACCTTCTTAAAATATAAGATGTTCCGAGTAGCGCAGTTTTAAGCAGTTCTGCTGGTGTTATTGCAGGAAGCTGCAATTTGATGATGTATCTTGTAAAATTCTTGGGCATTGTGCCAAGTGCCCCGATGACAATGGGTATCGCTGTTTCATGCTTCATGCATAGCCGTGTAGTTTCAATGGCCAGGTCGCGATATTTCATTATTTTTTCTAGTTCTTTTTCTTTGACTCTGGAACAGCAATATCAATAAACTGTACACTTCGGCCCTCTACAACCATGATATCTGGCGTGTTGTGCTCCAAATGACGATCCGTTTGTATTAGAAAGTCCCACAAGATCTTCACCTACTCATTTTCGATAACTTTTTCATTATTATTATTATGTGTTTAATCTTTGGTGAGATTCACAGCCTATGGGGCTGGTTGGTAGCTCAACAGCTCGAGTCCTAACCAAGGACTTAGGAATTGTTAAGATAACATTGGAGGATATAAGCTATTCCAAGTAGGGTGGTTTTTTATAGAATCAGAATGTTTAAGTCTGATAAATTTAAAATTTGCAAATAGCGAGGTAGCCCTTTAAGTATTGCTCCAAGGGCTCCATTTACAATCAGGACAACACATGATTTCTTTTTCCACAGTAGCTCAACTTCAATTTGCAGGT